ATGCCAGCGGGCGCTAGGGGAAACAGCGTCTCCCCCAAACCCTTCTGGTCCCCCCTAGTGAGTTTATAGACGGTCACCAGGTCCCCCCTCAGCCTTCTCTTGTGGAGGCTGAATAGGTTCAGGTCCCGCAGTCTCTCACTGTAGGGTCTGCCCTGTTGTCCCCGGATCACACGGGTGGCCCTCCTCTGGACCCTCTCCATGTTCCATTTAGTTGACCAAAGGAAAATAAAACTCTATCCCACATGTACCCAGAAGTCCCAGGCTCAGTCCTGGACCAGTGTGGGCATAGGCCAAAATCCAGGTGAATTGATATGGGTAAGTAGCACTTAAGGAGCTCTAAGCGCCTTGTTACACATTAATTTTAGCTGGCACCTGAAGCTCATAACCCCTGGTTTGTCCACACATTAACACCTATACCTAATTTTAAGCATACTTTAGGCATCTTAAAGCATACTTTAGGCATCTTAAACCAACACCACTCCGGGGCAGGTTTATCTCCAACCCAAGTTGCCCAGCTCATGTTCCATTAATGTGTGGCCACTCTGACAAAGGACCCACCCAAGTTACAGTCCTGCAGCATCCCAGGATGCCGTGTCCCCACCCCCACCTTCCTGTTCTGTGTAGACAAACTTTCCACCCACTAACTGCCTGGGAGAAGTTATAGCACCAAACCCACTCCCCCTTCCAACCTAATGATGTGATCTTCTTATCCCCAAGGGTGCAACCCCATGCCAACAGGCTGCAGAGCACATGCCAGCTATCCAGGTTGCAGGGTACAAACAGGTCCAGGAGTAGGGTCTAGGTGGGTTGGGGAAAACATAGTAGAGGGCTGGATCAGGCCCCCATGAGCTTGGGCTTCCTTCGCAGAGTAGGAGCAGTAACTCTCCCAACAGTACATTCCTTTACCACTCCCACCTCTCAGCCACCCTGGGAAGCAAGACCAGCACCCACTCCCACGAAACACAAACTCCAAATCCCAATTTCTGAAAACATGAGACCTTATTTAATTTACTCCTCTTTATTTCTTTTTCTTTTTTACTTTTTATTTTATCCTTCAGTGGTTGACTTCCTTCATTACACCACCCTATACCCACCCCAAATTCCTTTCCACCTTCAGCGTTACTCATCCCCATCTCATTAACTCTCCACCTCCCAACTTCATGTTCTCATCCCACCCCCTCCCATCTAGAGCAGGCATAGAAGCCTGTCCTGGCTCACCAGCCCTGTAGTGACAACTCACAGCTGTAGCTCCTAGTCAGGCACCTGCTCACCAGCTCTCTAATAGCAAGTCATAGCTGTGTAGATGGGGGACAGTCAGAGAAGCTTTTTAGCCTTGAGGTGTGAGTGCTCCAAACTTGAGCTAGCACTAATACTGATCAACATTTGAGCAGCTCGAAGTGCAACATGTAGCAAGGCCCTAAGTTTGCTTTGCAAGTGTCATTTTTTACTATTTGCATAGGATTTAGTCTACCTCCCCAGGGAATCACAGACTGCATGGAAGAGGGCCCTCCCACCTTTTTGCTCAATTTCCTAATAGTGCAGGGCAGGGAAATGGTGTTCTGGAGGCCAGATTGGTTCCTGTGCATTGAGATTGAACTCTGGGACCCCACACCATCTCCGCCTGGCTGGAGCCCAATCCTGTCTGGGTGAAGGCAGCGTAGAAATCCACATTGTCCCCCCAGGGCCAGAATCAGGCTCCACACTGCTTCACCCATCTGCGATTGGGCTTTAGGAGCTCTAGTCTGCTGAGCAGGCATACACCACCCCCAGGCAGGCCTTGGACAGAAGGTTCAGGCCCCAGACCACCCTGTGTATCCACAGGGCCATGGCCCATCAAGCTCGTCACAGATCTGTGGGGAGCACTGTGGCTGGTTGACAGGGTGCTGAGGACTGGATCTGGCTGGTGGCCAAGGGTTAAGCATCCCTGGTATTGGGAATGAGAGATCCAGGTTCCCTGCTCAGCTGGAAGGTGTTTGAACCAACTTCCTAGCAAAATGCCCTAACTACCACCCCATAAGCTAGGCATTGCCAAAAGCATCCTCTACTCCTTCTATTGAAGCTAGCTCACTAAATAAGAGTGGGGCCAAGAAGACTATAAAGCAGTGGGGTTATGGCTCAGTAAGATGGTCCCAACCCTGGGAAGGCTCTGGCTTCTGTCCCTAGTAGCGTTGTTAATATTTTCTTGTTGCTTTGCAGCAAAGTGCATTTAGCATTGAATACACTAGACTGTGATTATTCTTTTAAGACTGAATTCTGTAGTTTAGATCCAGCTCCTATGGAAGTATTGCCTTTTATACATTTTGTTGGTTGATGTTCTCATTTTTCTTCTAGTGTTGCTGTTGTCAGCAATTGTAGTCAAAGAAGGAGAGTAGTTAAGGCCATTTCCAATGAAAAAAAAATAACAACAATGGTTTGACCCTGATGCTGTATTCAGTGGGAGTGGGGATGTATTACTAAAATGGCTTCATAGAGAGTTCTAGAGGTACTGGACCTCTCATAATCACACTGTTGAAGTTGAAATTCACAGCATGGTTTATTCCTGTCAAGACAAGCTTCTTACCTTGCAGATACTCCAATTTTCAGGCTCAGCAGAATGGATGCAGTTTTCCATTATCATGTTCCTCTAGCATCTGGAAGTTTAATCAAATAACATGAAAGACTTCTGCTTTCTTAAGCATTTTCTTCTCCTTTCTTTAATCATGCTGAGATTTCTTGTGAATAATGCAAACCATAATTATCATCTGCAGATCAGTGTATTCACTGAACTGTTTCTTAAAGGGATTTTTTTTCTGTGAATTTCAGATGACCAGGAGCAAAATTATAACCACCTGGTACTTAACAGTGCAACCCAGACACCTACAAATGGTAAGAGAAAATAAAGAGCAAAATTACACATGTTGTAACTTTCCTCTGACAGCCTGTTACACATACTGGCATTAAAATACATTAATGGTAATAGAATTGTTCATATGTCATTGATATATGAGTAAGTTGTTCTATTACCATTAAGTGTAGGATCATATTTCTAATAATGTACATGTTTAAATATAACGGAGTTATTCATAACTTAAATTAAATACAAGTTTTGTCTTTCCTCATGACTAGAGGCTCTGTACTCATGTCCATAACCACAATGTGCACTCACAGATGCAGATAACTGGGGGAGCAGTAATGACAAGCAAAGAAGAGTCCATCTTTGTCACCCTGGCCATTTACAAGATGAAATTGCTTATATATATATGCTATGTTAAACTAAGCATATATAATAAAGAACAACCAGGGTCTGAACTTACTAGCTGTTGGGATCACAACACATCTGAACTCAACTAAATTTGATCAGAGTCCTTCCCAAAATATCCGTACCCTCAGAGATTAAGATTCTTCAAACAGAGTGTGCTCAGGCCTTTATCTCACCTTGCCATGCTCCCTTTAGTCCCTTTCAGTTGGGTCCATGGAGCCTATAGGAACTGCAAAGGCAATATGCATAGTCCCTGAGAGATGATCAAATCAGCTTGAACCTCAAGCAAACAGGATCTGAGAGAGCTGCAGCTTCTAAAAAAGGATTGCCACACCATGCTTTTAAGTGACTCTGCCTAAAAAATCTTTGATATGGTGTCAATGGGCATTCATTCCATTCATGGGAATATCACTGAGAGGTCACAGAGGGAGGCATAAAAAGTAAAGGCAAGAAAGTGAAATGATCCAGAAAGACCACCCCTTCTCACTCTGTAAGAAAGATCACCTGTTTATAACATGTAGCTGTCAAGATTTGCTCTTTTTTGCTTTTATTGACACCCCCTTCACCAGCTGAAGGAATGAAAGGGCAACACCTAATTGTAATCACTCATCACACTTAAAGTGTAATCACACTTTAAGCCTTCACTGAATTATCCTCTAAGTCCTAGATCTGACCCCAGAGTAGATGGTTTAGGCCATTTTTCATTTCCAGGTGATATGGTAGTATAAGAGTGATGTTGTAGCTATGATGGTCTAGAAATTATGTGAGAGGCAAGGATTTCTTAGGGCAATATATCGCCAGTCCCTCATGGTCAAGGGTGATTCTTTTCCATGATTGCTTTATCTGTGAGTCCAAAGATGGCTGATGAGACTGATCCAGAATTGAGACACCCTCTTGCAACTTGGGCACGTGTTTCCATGTGGGGTGGATGGCTCCAGATTCTTGATTCTATCTGCCACATGCTGTTTCTGCCACCCTAGATTTTCCATCTTCTGTTGTTATTGTAAGAGTACAACAACAGAGTGTACTGATATCATTGCAACAGACTCTTCCTCCATTTAAGGCTGTGCTGGGTGATAGTCTCTTTTGAGTTGATGTCAATGTTTAGTTATTTCAAGTTGGCCTTGAGGAATCCTTGAAGCACTTTCTCTGCCCTCCGTTTGAGCATATGTCTTGACTGAGCTGGAGAATAAAACTTGCTTTGGGAGTCTGGAATTAGGCATCCAGATGATGTGGCCGGCCCAGCAAAGTTGATGTCAGATGATCATCACTTTAATGCTTATGGTGTTTGCTTGTGAGAGGATGCTAATGTTGCACCTGTCTTCACTGAATTTGAAGGATCTTCTGCAGGCAGTGTTGATGTTACTTCTCCAGTGATTTGAGGTGTCTCCTGTATGTTGTCCACATCAAATCTCTGTACACTAAGGTGAGGATCATGACTGCTTGATAAACCATGAGCTGGGTTTCAGAACTGATATTGCAATCTCTGAACACACATTTCCTCAAGTACCTGAAGGCTTTATTTCCACTTTTAGAAATGAAGTTTGATTTCTTTGTCAATGTCAGCCTTCTGCGAGAGATGGCTTCCAACGTACAGAAAATACTCAGTGTTCTATAAAGTCTCACCATAAATCTGAATTACCAGAGATGGAGACTGGTTACTAAGAGTTTGCTGATGGAGGACCTTAGTCTTCTGAATGTTAAGCATCAGTCCCGTTTTCTTGTATGCCTCACTTAAGGCATCAGTGATTCCCTGAAGGTCTGTTTCTGAGTGAGCATATAGTACAGTATCATCAGCGTACTGGAGCTCACTGATTAAGGTTAGGGTGGTTGTGGTTTTGGCTCAAAGTTGATTGAGATTAAACAGCTTACCATCCATTCAATAGTTTAGCTCCACTCCATCTGGAAGCTCATTGATGGTCAGATGTAGCATCACAGTGGGTGCATCTACATATGCAATTCATATACCTTAAGGTTTCTGCACATTAAAATAAGCTGCAGTAAACTGTACCCAGGAACACATCTACTGATGCGCCCTCATTGGGAGTAAATTTTCCCTCAATGGGAGCTGTTGAGTCCAGGTCTGCCCCCTTTCTCTGCTCTGTCCTGCTGCAGTAGCTGGGAGGAGCTCCAGGCTCCCACAGTGCCAGCCCCAAGCTGGTGGGGGCACAAGGGTCAAGCCTGGCATCCAGGGACTGGAAGTAGCTATCTTGGGGTGCGGGACAGTTCTCAGCTGTGTGGAGCTTGGGACTGTAGCCTAGCTCAGTGTCATTGGCTTGGGGTGATGCCCCGTGCCTGAGCATGGGGTTAAACAGTGCTGAGACTTGGGGGAGATGTAGAAGCATAAGCAGCACCAGAACGGGGTGGAGATGTGGGAGCTGAGCTGCTCTGGGACAGGAGACAGAGAGCTCCCCCTTCCCCTCAGCAAGCCAAACAAGAAGAGAGCTCAGTGACAGGACATCCCTCCAAACCAGAATCGCCAAGCTGGACTACAATCCTGAGCTCCACATTGGAAATGTAGTTCCCCTTTCCATGCCCGCCCGCCCCCCGCATACACACACCCTCTGTGGCCCACTGCTGCCTAGATTGATCAGGAGCAAATTGCTCCCAGCCACTATCTGCACATGCTCTACTGTGCAGTAGCTAATACACCATTAATCTAGTAGCTGTATTTGCTGGTACTACCAAACAGCATATTAGCCTAATTTACTGTGCAGTAAGTTGTGTGCACATGTAGACCCTGATGCTTTACTCTGTATTATGTGAGTCTAATGCTCAGTAAAGCATATTGTATAGATGCATCCAGTAAGGAATATTGAGAAAAGTGTTGGAGCAATGACACAGCCTTGCTTCACTCCTGTCTTAATTTCAAAGGGATCTGTGATAGACCCATTACTGAGAACCACTACTTGTATACCGTCATGTAGCAGGCAAAAATGGTGAAAATTTTGGTGGGCAACCATATATCAGAAGGATCTTCCACAGTGCTTCTCAGCTGACAGAGTTGAATGCTTTCATTAAGTGAAAGAAGGCTATGTAGAGGGGCTTTTGTTGTTCCTGGCATTCTTCCTGAAGCTGGCAAGTAGTGAAGATCATATCAGTTATGCTCTAAACCAGAAGTGGGCAATTATTTGGGCTGGAGGACCACTTAAGGAGTTTTGATGAGCTCTTGAGGGCCAGGGGTGAAGGATGCTGACCTGGCCTCATCCTCCCATCACAGCAGTTTAAACCACCCAGCAGGGTGGGGGCAGAGAAGGGGAGCAGGGTAGCCAGAAAGATGCAAATTGATCCTATCTGCCCTGGGCCCATCCACCCTGCTGGGGTGCTGGATGGAGTACATGGGCAGGCAGGTTGAGTTTTCATGGAGACTGGTGCAGGACCCCTGTGGGCAGGGTGCACTCAGCCAGGCAGGTGGAATGAGGCCATGGGGACACTGGGAGCAGCATCCAGGAGTGGGACAGGCAGGTAGGGCCAGGATTGCAAGGCAATGGCAGAATGAACCAGGATCCCAGAGCAGAGCTATGATCTGCTCCTTGTATGTCCCTGTGATAGGCAAGGGCTTGCCACGTCACAGGAACCAGCAGAACCAGGCATGTCACAGCAATGTGGTGGGAGCAGATTATGGCTGTGCCCCAGGCCCCAGTCCCATGCTGTCACTGCTCCATGAACCTGGTCCTGGCCCCAGTCCCACTTACTTTTCCCACTCCCAGGCACCACTTCCTTCCTGCCCCACAGCCCCATCCCAGCCATCTAGCCTAGTGCCCCTTGCCTGTGGGGGTCCCAGGCCAGTCTCCATGGCAACTCCGCCTGCCAACCCACTCTGAACTGTGCCCACAGCAGTGTGTCCAGGGCAGATGGGCCAGGCATTGGTGGCAGCAGCCAGAGTGTGAGGGTGAGAACAAGTTGCTACCACATGTACTGCTGGGAAGCCAAGTCCAGCCTTTCAATACCTTTAGTAGTCCCTCTCTGGTCACCCCATCGCCCTTCTTTTGCTATGTAAACCTGTGGTTTTATCTTAGCTTCCTACAGCCAGTTATTTCAATAGCCAAACTTGTCATGGGGAGGAGCAATATTCTTAGCCTCAGTGATGATTTCCTTATTGATCCAGAACCTTACATCATCCTATGCCTAACCAGATAGACAGATGTAACAACTGTATGGTTATCAAAGGGTACCAGCATGAGCTGTTACAATGTAAATGTTACCTCTGCATGATACTATAACAATAGAAGTACAGAAAAAATGCTTCAATTTTAACCCTGTTTCATTAACAAAGTTAAGAAGATATAGTTAACTTGTAGTGCTGACCTATGCAGAAGTAATAGTTACATCATAACAGATGGTGCACAATCCAAACCGCATCTCTGTCCTTTTTTTAACAATAGTTCAAGGTATGTTTGTTCATTCCTTCAGTCTCCTTTCCTTTCTTCTTCTATTTGGCCAGAAACTTTATTTTCCTGTTTTAGCCATATTTCATGCTCAGATTAGGGCCTCATATCCACTTCTGCTAAAATCCCTTTCCATTTATTTATCTCTTCTCTATTCATTTGAAATCTAGCAGTAGCATAATTATGGGTAGGTGACCAGGGCACAAGCTCCAAGCCCTCAATAAAGGAGAGCATAAAAT